AAACAAAGCACGGGTTCAGGTAGAACATGAGGTTGACGGAAACTCGGGGATTCGCCTACCTGATGAGCGAGCCCGAAGAAGGGCGAAACCGGTCGTGGGTTGTCGAAGAGTTTTCAACAACCTTGTGAGTAGTTTCCCTGATGAACAGCATGGCTACGTCTATAAAAACGCAATGCTTGGCAGTAAAAATGTAATCGAACATTATCTTATATGTACTACTCCGCACTCGTCTGATATTCACGCTTTTGGTATGGAGCTAATACGGTTCGTATTATGCTGCGTAATGCTTCAAAGTAATCAGCGACAAATGTTCAACCTTGGTATGGCTCGCCGCTGGCCTCGGCCATTAGTCCATCCTGAGCACACCCCATGGATCGCGATCCTTTTATTCACCCTCAACTTAGTTGGTAGTTATGATGTACCGTTTATGCAAAGCGCCAGCTGTAGAAGTAACCTCTCTTTTTTGCCTCCGGACTTATTGCTCCCGGTTTAAACGGGCTACAGAACACTCAGGCTGTTCCATACACTGCTTCGTGCAAAATGGTGCACGGTATTATCCATTGACCTCATGCGGCAGGCAAATCCTGAAACGACACTAGCCACCTGACGCCTTCCGTTTCAGCTTCATACTACAACAAACTACCAGCTAGATGAAATTTGAGTTGAACTCACTAGGCCGAGGACAATCAGTTTTATGTTGTCAACCTTGGCTTAACTACCGCGGATAGAGTCCCCAAGTAGTCTTGACGATTTGTTGACTGTTGATTTAGGCATGTTTACTGAAAAAGGAACTGATCAGTTATCCTGCCGAACAAGTAGGTTTGGCGCGCGTGATGACATTTAGATGACTCACTAATTGAATGAACAAGCCTCATCTTGTAAAATCAACTAAAATTCCACACTCCCAGTAACATGTACTTATGGCATGACTGACACAAACGGGGTACGCTGACAAATGACACCCACAACTCGGTTGAAAGCTTGAGCAGACGACAGAGTTATCCGGATTACAGCGCTGTTGCGCGCTATCTGGAGGACCCTCTAAACCGAGTTTAAAATCGTCATACTTCCCCTGTTGCGGTCATCTAGAGCAGTCCTGTGGGTAAAATATGGTTTGCGAAATGGATAAATCAGCTGATTACGCGAAATAACTTATTTGTTTACGGAGAAAAATTTCACCAATTACGTTTTAGATACTGAACGATGCTAAATTGCGACGCGTTACAAAGTTCTTACTGTTTTGCTTGCATCACCAGGCGCTACGTCACCATCATCTTCTTCATCCTGTTCTTCTCCGTCGCCAGAAAGATTTGATCACGATTTGTAGCGCCATGAATGATCATCCAATCCGTGGTCAAATAATAAACTGGAGATCTTTGACTGACTTCTGAGTGAGTCTAGAATATCTGCATTCCGGCGACCATCAAAGGTTTTTTTATCCGACGGAGTAATCCCATCCTATCAGAATGATGAACGCAAAACTGATTGGCAGGATGAGATGCAGTGGAAGTTACTTAATTGATTTCTCCCCCCCCCCCCCCCCCCCCGATTGATCTTTTAAACCAGCCTGATTACTGACAGAAAAAAACAACAAATCGATAGTAGGAATATCACGCCTATAATGAATAGGAATAAAGTTGAAATTGATACGTATTTGTATTCGTGATGAACTACTTAGATCAATGTAACTGATATCGATTTTGCCGCAAAAGTACTTTCCTACCGCGACTTTATGGTCTACCAAAAGTCTATAAACCAGATGTCATGGTGAGACGGGCAGTAGACGGAGCGGTTTCCCCACACCAAGAGCTGGCCAAGTTCTTGGTAGATGTTTCAAAACCCCTCAACGGGAAATCTAATACTTACATTAAGAATTCGAATGACTTTGCCAACAAAGTAGAGGGTGTTACCGTGGTACCAGATGATATGATATGATATGTTTCGATACCGATTCGTTAAATACAAATGTACCAAAAGAGGACTTGTTGGAAATAGCTAAGTGACTGTTGCTAGAGGACATTAACCCCTTTCAGAACGAACACAGCTTGCTTTACAGGAAGTAGCGGAAGGTATGAAAGCAGATCTGAAACCCGACCATGTCGTTTGTGACTCCGTGGCTTATACTCAAGAACAACTTCTAGCAATGAATCTTGAATACTCTCGGCTCCTGCAAATCTATTTATGGGAGATTTTGGAAAGAATGCTTTAACCGGATTCCCATACCCATCTAAGATATTGTGGCGTTATGTGTAGAGGACACTTTCGTTGTGAAGAATCGAGGCCAGTTAGTTGAATTTTACAACTGTCTGAATGAACTGAGTCCACACATCAAATTTAGTTTGGAGTCAACTGTGGGTAGAGTGCCCTTCTCAGAGTGCATGACACATAAGGTCGGGTGAAAACTAAAGACCACAGTTAATGAGAAGCCAACTGACACTGGGGCTGTTGAATCTAACTTGACCTTATGATAGTTCCCCCATCCATTTGCTTACATCGCCTATGTACTTTTGATCTCCAGTTGTTCTGCTTATTCGTACCCGCCATTCACCTTGCGGCAGAGGCCGTCGTTTCCAACACTTGTATATTGACATGTGTGTGAATGCGTGTTGCTGACCTACTTACCCATGTGCGCTCGCGCGTTGCTGACCTACTTACCCATGTGCGCTGCTGTCCCGTTCACCGAGCCCGACTTGTCTTGTTTTCTCATGAGTTCCGTGTGGTCGCACTTCTAATGAGAATCACGAGACCGTCGTCGGAAGGGACGACTGCAACCCACGCTACTGAGCCATCATTTCGCCCTCCATTGTGTGGTATGCGGACGTTGACACTGCACTGTGCCGGTCAGTGACAGACCTGTGAACTTGTTGACGCTACGAACATGAATAATTGAGTTATGTTGTATACATTTGCTTACCCTGGTGTAATTAGTACCGTAGAATTGCGAACCCAACTCTTCCTTTAGACATTCGGGATTGTCGAACCGACGCGTCACTCAAATTTCCCCATCGGGAACCTCAACAGGGACAATTTTGAACTACTTGTCTGCCCATCCGAAATCGGTATTTGTGTCAATAGCGAAACGTTATCCACTAAAAAGTCAACAATTGTTTACCAAGTTGTTTTAGGACTGATCTATTGGTTTCATCTTGTTGATGTGTGTTCAGGTGAACGACCAAGTCTAAGCTGATGTTCTACACATCAGTTTCACAGCTCAGTTTCACGAATGAGCAAGGATGTTTTGTAGCCTGAGTACTCATCGCCTATCACCGAAACACTGTCACCGTCATTGAATGAGAGGAAAGCTAACGAGAGTTGATGTGCTGAATTTAAGCAGTGGAACACTTACCAAAAGCCAGGCGATTGTGGCTTCTGATCTCCAAGTGGTATTTCGGAGCACAGTGACATGATTCAGCCTGAAAGTGTGAAACTTCTCGAATTCCTGAGTGAATAAATCCTCCAACTCACTACTCTTTTCACCCCGGTGTGCACGCCACAGCGGGTAGGATAGGTAGAAACTTGTTCACCACGACCCTATTTCTCCTCAGGGTGCTGTTCATCCGTTCGGCGAGCTGATTCAGACATGACCGCACAGGGTGTGCTAGAGATATTATCGCTTTCAAAGCTTGTTGAACATTCTGTGACTTTACTGTGAGCCAGCGTTTCTTCTTTGTTGCAAAGGGCTCTCCAGTGAAAGTGAGTTGAGTACTAGCTTGGTAGAGTTGTAATTCAGACAGCGAAACATCTGGTAACATCTCACCATTATTGGAGCTCATTCAATGGGCGCAGTACCCACGTTTCCATCAACCATGAACATGAGATTGACGAAAACTCGGAGACTGCGTCCACCTAATGTGCGCTGACGAGGGCGAAACTGATCGTGTTGAGGAGTTTTCAGCAATCTGGTTTTCACAAGAGACTCAACTGAATCTCTCGTTTATGAAATTCTAAAACTGACTGTGCTGCACACAAGCCGCCTCATGATTCAGTTGGCACGTTACTCGAAATATCGCAGTAAATTTCCATAGGGGAGACTACTCACAAGGTTGCTGAAAACTCTTTGACAGCCCACGACCGGTTTCGCCTTTCTTGGGGCTCATCAGGTAGGCGCAGTCTCCGAGTTTCCGTCAACCTTATGTTCCACTTGAACCCAACTTGGACTGTTTTCGAGAAATACACTCATTTGCGAATCCATTTGGTTTTCACAGGAGACTTAACTGGATCTCTGGTTTATGATATTCCATAACCGGTCGTGAGCTGTCGAAGGGTTTTCAGCAACCTTGTGAGTAGCTTCCCTTATGAAAGTTTTCAGCAATCTTATACGTAGCATATTACGTCTATACTTGTATCGCGACATCTTGAATATCGTACCAACTGAAACATGAGGCAGCCTGGTTCAGACCCCTGTCAAAGTCGAATTGACATGCAAATGTGTGTATTTGTCGAAATTAGCAACGTCCCTTTCATCAAGAACGAAAAATACCAATAAATGTCTGTTCAGAGGTTTTGTTGGCTGGTGTGAGCAACTGTATCTTACTTTCACTCATTTGCGAATCCATTTGGTTTTCACAGGAGACTTAACTGGATCTCTGGTTTATGATATTCCATAACCGGTCGTGAGCTGTCGAAGGGTTTTCAGCAACCTTGTGAGTAGCTTCCCTTATGAAAGTTTTCAGCAATCTTATACGTAGCATATTACGTCTATACTTGTATCGCGACATCTTGAATATCGTACCAGCTGAAACATGAGGCGGCCTGGTTCGGCCCCCTGTCAAAACCGAAATGATATACAAATGTGTGTATTTGTCGAAATTATTAACGTCCATTTTATCAAGAACAAAAAATCACCAATAATATCTGTTCAGGGTTTTTGTTGGCTGGTGTGATAGACTGTATCTTACTTTCAATGTATGGGACAAATTGGGAGAGCGCCATATCACAATGTCCCTGTATTTTCGTAGCCTCATAAATCACACTTTGGACAAGACATAAAACATACTCACTGGCACACCATCAGTCAGTTTATTCAAGTTATCCGGCAGCTGGAAAGGGGAAAAACACAGTTTGGTCACTCAGTGGGATTAATCTAAATAACCTGCCCCTTTATTCGAGCTTTGCGTTGGCCTTCCTGAACATGTGAAAATATGGTCTTGATATCGGTCCGAAAGGACTAATGTCCGGAGGCCAGTCGTCTCTAATAACCGAACATCACATCGTTTGGACGGATGTGTCGCGTGCAGGACACGGGCTAATCGAAGGCATGCCCTGGTTGGTCAGAATACCAACCAATCCGGATCGAGCATCATTGACTCGACGCTTCTCGCCCCCTCACGGAGATTCTAGCACGACCTTGCGGAGCACTGTGATTACCCCATAAATACAGTTGTAATAATCTTCCTTTGACTCGATCAAGGGCTGTGTAGAGCTACCGTGCCTTCTGATATACCGTGGAGGGTGTAGCAGGACGCCAAAGGACCGATAAAGATTCGCACTACCATTCGGCAACCACAACAGACCTTAAGTTTTCTCTGGGACGTTACTGATAACTGAAAGGCAAAACTGGTGGGAACTGCTCAATGCCTAGCTTGAGCAAACAGGTGTGGAGACTGTTCGTTGGCGGATAAGGAAAGCTGATCACGTCACCAACCCTGACAAGCTTGAAATGCTCCCGTGATTCTACTGAGTTGAATGAGATACCAGGAGGGGAGCCGCGGTTGAAACACTACCCGAATTCACTCAAATCCAGTTGTTATGAAGGGAAGCCTATCCAGAGCTTGGTGGACAGCAGACCTTGTGTGACGGCATGGAAGTTATTGGTGACAGAGTTTTCCAAAATATTTGTGTTCTACCCGTAATTTATGCAGTGCGCCCCGTTAGCTGACAAAATGCACACTAATACCATTAAAAGGCCAGTGGAGCAATAATCCAGTGATTAGGACATGTACAACTGAAAGAAAGAAGAAGCAATAACGTTGATGCGCCTGCTAGGTTCTCGAACTCAAGGTGGTATTTTGTTCAATACACAAACTCTGTTATGCGCCAAAAATACATGTATAGCGTGCCGCGCTCAGAGTGTGTGCAACGACCACATTCTGGAAATTCCGACACTTTTTGAACGCAGCATTGGCAACCGGTATTCAGAGGATGCGCCAAAAATACATGTATAGCGTGCCGTACTCAGAAAGTGTGCAACGATCACATTCTGGAAATTCGGACACTTTGAACGCAGTATTGGCAACCGGCATTCAGAGATACTACGACGCGATTAGCTATTGGGTCCACAGTGTTGACCAATAGGAGCACGTCCTGATTCCGGACAGGCCACCGGTCCGATGTTCTGACCAATCACATGCGGATTAGACATGTGATCGCACCTAACTGCGAACAGGAAGGCGCTTTTGGCGCAGGATTCCGCCTGAGAGATAAACAGCCTTTTGAATTGTATTTGTGAAGACCTAAAAATCGGAGTTGATTGATGATCTGATTGACTATCAACTAAATAGTTTGTGTTGAGCAACTTGGTTTTAGCAGTCAAGCTTCCCCAAGCACTAAACTGTGCTGACTTCATCCATGTAGTTCGACATCACTGCAGTTACATTTCAAAGTGGAATTTTGACTGCACCCATACTACTCACAAAGCTACTGAAGCGACGCGAATTGACATACGTCAGAACCGTGAGGGGCGACACAGGACAGACTTAGTGTTTATGTTTAGGTCATGACTCTCCTTTCAATTCTCGTCATTCGAATGTTCGTACGGATGATTACGAACCTAATTGTCGAAGATTAAATATCCTGAATACTATTCTAATGGACTAAAGTAGAAGATTATGTCAGGCCGACCATATAATGGACGAATGGCCTGCATTACTTTCGTAGACTTAAGCTTCCTTCAGCACAGCCATCAAAGTTAAAACATGGTGGCCCCTGCCGAAAATCTACTCTGGCCTTCAGTTGGATGACAAGTTTAGTCACCAAAATGGCCTTCAGTTGGATGACAAGTTTAGTCAGCAGAATCACGCAAACCTCTTTTTACCCAAGTCAGTCAAAATTGTTCAACTAGATCAAATCCAGTTCCACCTTAATTAGCATGTGACACCCACGCCACAGTCGACACACCGACATCCTACCCCATACAAGCCACAGATTCGTACATCAACACACAGGTGATTCTTGTCCTCGCAGCCCCATCTACTCTAACTAGGTCTGCTAATGAAGACCGAAAATTGTCTTGGTACAAAACAGGGGACAAGGCAAACAAAGTGTAAAACACACTGCGAAAAGCCGAATTAAGGAAGGTCGATTCTCCGTAAACAATTTAGAGTTGTGAATAACTAGTAAGATTCTGGCTGCATGAAACTTAGTGGAAAACATAGGTATTTTGATTTAATTTTTAGTGTTTTGAAATTAAGACTCCATGTGTTATTGAACTGAAGCCAGATGATTTTTCTTGTTTCAGTGTTCATCAGCTTGGCTGGGAATCTGCTGGCGATAAAACGACCATTTGCCGCATCGTAATTCTACGAAAGTGGTAGCCCAGGCAGTTTGGTTTGAACTAACCGAACCATATGCCATTTGACATATTGCTTGTCAGCCATTCGTGTTGTACGGACTAACCCGTAACTTAAGTTTGTTTGCGTAAATGAGAGGGCCAGATGGCTCAAGTGGTTAGAGCGTGAATTTACTGACCAGAAGGTCCGTGGTTCGAACCCAACCTCTGCGACTCGACTTCCCCTGTCTAGGCTTGGGCAACCTGGCAGTATCCCAGCCCTCGTGAAACCTTCGGGTGGCGTGGCAGTTAGGCACGGAAAGGGTGCTACAGCCAGACGATTTTGTATGGATGAGACAAGCAGAGACCCACACGTTCATATGAACAGATCCCACCAAAACTGACCGCGAGGGTGACCAAATTACATCGGAGGTGTTGGTGGCCTTGGGAGAACTTGTCCATGTTCGAGTTATTTGACCCACCAGGTGTCAGAGTGCGTTCAATTCAACGCACTTCCATGACTGATCAGTCGATCGACCATACAGACGACTCAGGTCTAAGAGGGCATACCAACGGCTTTTATTCAGTAGTTTCGTGCTTTCTACTGAATAATCCCATTTTATTCAATACGGGAAAAAACACTGGCAGACAGTGGTGTGGATTCCTTTGAATATACAAGAGATCGAGTGAAAACGAAGTTTGAACGTTATAGATCAATAATCTCAGTGCCGCACCGAGCGTGCCACGTGCGCTGAATTTCTCAGTTGTAGGCTTATATAGTGTGATATGAAAAAGGCAGAACAAGTGCGTGTTGAGTGTGACTGCCCAAAACCCCGGTTTAGTTTCACACTCAACCGACCAGGTTGTGGTGACCGAATCATGTGGAAATTATGTATCCTGACGCTTTGAGTGTTGGTTTGCTCATGTCTTGTCAAGCAATGGTGTCTGCTGGCATTCTGTGGCCAACAAATCCAAGAGAACCTATCCAAGAGAATGAACAGATCAGCCCACAACAGGGTCTGTAAACAAACCCAATCGTAAAGTGCAACTCATAAGTTTGCTGAGATTTCTTCGACAGCCCACTACCGATTTCGCCCTTCTTGAGGCTCATCAGGTAGGCGCAGTCTTCGAGTTTCCGTCAAACTCATGTTCTACTTGAATTGCGCCTGCCTGACGAGCCCCAAGAAGGGCGAAACCGGTCGTGGGCTGTTGAATAGTTTTCAGCAAAGTTGTGAGTAGTTTCCTTTATGAAAATATACTGCGATATCTCGAATATCGTGCCAACTGAATCATGAGGCGGCCTGTGTGCAGCACATTCAGCTGGAGGACATCATAAACGAGAGATTCAGTTTGGTCTCTCGTGAAAACTAAATTGATTTGCAAATGAGTATATTCCTGGAAGCCTGGTTCTATTTCAACCAAGTGGAAAAAGTTGGGAACCGAATCAGAATCTATCGTTTCAGAAGAACCTGGTAAACAGTAGGTAGTTTTACGACTGGGCAAATTCTTGCTTTCGACATAAAAGTTGTGCCAGGTCAGGTGTCGATTTGGCCGTGTTTTAGGGCTGATGGAGAACAGAAAAATTATAAGTCAAGTGGAAGGTGAATCATCAATTGAAGCGCCTTGAACTGGGAGATTGAGAACCCAAATCCGATCAAGAATCACTCAAAACTCCCCCAATCCACCAATCACAAGATATATTGGCGACCAGACTAAGTGACAAGACCCATGAATTGACATTCAACACTGATCTATAATGCTAATCGAAACAGGTATTCCTGATCATAAGCGCACATTTAATTTAAAGTGGTTTGGCTACTTTGTTCATTAGCGGACCATTGACCATCGCCCTGCTGACAAAGAAAGCTAGTACGCGAAAAAACTTTTCATGTCCTGGCACGCTTATTCCGCACCGAAGGGATGAAGCACGAAGCCCGAGTTTCATTCGTATTAGAACCCTTAGGCAGTGCACAAAGTTGGCCGTGGCGGGGTTTGCAACTGCGGGTGACTGACATACGAGGCGAGGCCGCTCAGTATTCGCACAGTGGAGATAGATTTTCGAAAGCCATTACGTGTCCCTGATGGACTAAAGCAATCGGGCATTTGAGTTCAGAGTACCAGTCCAAACTTTTGAGCCCCATTTAGACATCCCAGGGTCTCAGCGAGGCTTGGAAATTATTCCATCAGACTTTTCCGCCAGAGGACACTGAACTTTGGTGAGATTCAAAAATATGAAAGCAGCTTAGGATGGTTTTTGGTTTGAGCACATAAGCAACAAAATGCAACATTTTGGCGCAAAACGTTTTACTCCAATCACGAAGGTTTTACAAATAAAAGCATTGTGTAGCTAATGGGCCCCAGAGGCTACTCCACCAGCGCAGGCTAGAGGCACGTGAACCATCAAGACTGAACTGGAGAACGTGTTCACACTTAAGTGATGCAAATGATTCGCCTGATGTCTCAAAAAACAACCCAGTAGTTGTCTCCTGTCGGTCGACTTACCCGCCTGCAAGGACCTCCCATTCAAGTAGCGCATGGGATTCTTAAAACTAG